AGTGCTGGTGAATCATTTAGTCAATTTTCTTTCTTTCTTTCTTTCTTTCTTTCTTTCTTTCTTTCTTTCTTTCTTTCTTTCTTTCTTTCTTTCTTTCTTTTTCTTTCTTTCTTTCTTTCTTTCTTTCAAAATAGGATTTTCCCATCCTGCCAGATCTAGCACCTAGGTGATGCAAACGTAATATTTAAAACAATCAGTAAAAGGATGGTAAAGCAAGAGAACAAGAACAGTGTCATAGAATAGCCAAGCACAAACTTAATTAAATTAGGATGTAAACACAACTAATTATTTACTGTCTCTCTCTGAAATAATCCTCTGTTTTAAAAACCTGTTAAGGAGGACCACATTTTAGATGTATTTATTTCTTTATTCAAAATATTTATATCCTACCTTGTTGCTGGATATCTCAGGATTAGATACAGAAGCTAAAAAAACAAATTAAAACAATTATAAAACCATTGTTTGTTAAAGAGTGGTAAGACAAGCACTGTTTCATGAAGCCATCCACAGTACCTCAGTCAGAGCAGGACATAGAGTAAGACTTCAGAGTGGGCAGGTACTAAGGCGAGAAGGCAGTCCTTAAGATATTTTAACCCCAGGGTAGTACAAATCCCTACAAAACAACCAATTTAAAGAGATCAATGATGTCAACTCAGAAGCTGAGTACCATGTCCAGTTGATTTCAGTTAAGGTTCTTGTCACATTCTGTAAGTGTTGCTGTTTTTGAAATTTTCAAAGGCAGAGCAATACAGGATGTATTTGTTGTTACTATGTGCTGTTAAATGAATTAATGATCTCCAGAAGTTCCTATTGTTAATAGTTGTTTTTGGTCTTGCAAACTGAGAGCTGTGGCTTTCTTTATTGAGTTGATCCATCTCATATTAGATGTCTCTTTCCCCACAACTGCCTTCTACTCCTCCTACCATTATTGCATTTTCCAATGAGTCTTGTCGTCCCAAAATTTGTCCGAAGTAAATTAACCTTTAGTCATTTTAGCTTCTAAAGAGTGTGTAGGCTTGTAGCTGTCAAGGAGAGGTATGCTCTCTTCCCAACATCTTCTGCCTATTCTGCCTATTATAAAGGCATGAATGATGCAATTCATACACCTCAACACACACCCTTGCCCCACTTTCCAGCTAGGGAAAGATATAGCTGACTGTCACCCCAATGGTGTAGTGATTAGAGTGTCAGACTAAAACTAGGAGACTCACTTCAAATCTCACTTGGACATGAAGCTGACTGGGTGATCTTTGCTCAGTCACTATCTCTCAACATAATCTAATGTGCAAGGATGTTGTGAAGATAAAATAATTTGAAGTGAAGCATGTACACTGCCTTGACCTCTTTGAAGAAAAGATGGATATAAATGTAGTCTAACAACAATTTTAACTACTATAAAATTTCCTTAGTTACCATTGCCCCCTGAAAATTTCCAGTAGTAGATCGAGATTCATCAGAACACACAGGGGTTGTTACTTATGAATCATAATTTCTATCTGGTCTAGACAATCTCTGCTTACTTTCCTTCATACTTTAAACGTAAGAAACGCACACAAATATATATATATATAACAGCATAGTGGGCTTATGACTGAAGCATAATATCTCCATGAAATTTTGGAGCAAAGCAACCCTCCTGCTCATGGACCATCCTTCTATCAGAGTATGAGACAAAGAGTAGGAATGAAAATAGGGTGGTAATGGGGAACAGAATGGATATCTATCAGGAAATGTCTGTAAGAATCGCCAGTCTTTTGTCTCACTTCAATGACTTCTGTGAGGATGTTGATTCTTGTATTTTTTGGGTATAAATAGTGCATGGCCAGCCCTTTTAAAGAGAAAAAATGTGTGGGAGAGAAAGAAAAGGAAAGGAAAAAGAAAAGGTGTGGTGAAATATGTACACTGCCTTGCAAAAAAGATAACACATTCTGTACCCTACTTCTATTTTATTCACGAAATACTTTCCTTTTATCAAAATGCTGTAGTACAAATATGTCAACCAATTCAAATAGCTCAAATGTTTAAAGAGTACTTTTTTAAAAAAAATTCTAAGTGTGAATTCATCAAACAGGTTATTGTACTGAGAGCCCTTCACATTCCTTTGATAAAATCATAAATCCTGTCAGCCTCTGATTCCAAAAAATTTCAAGTAATTCTCATAAAAAGGAAGAATTATAACAGTCAATGCAACAGAGAACTCTGGTTGAACTGACAGCCTGACCTCACCATTCCTTGTTTTAGAATTCATGTGCAGGCGCCTAGCATTCAAACAAAAATAGGTTTTTTAATGGAGGTGTGCTTGGAGTGTAGAAGGAAAGCTGGCTTTGTAGTCTATGTCTCAGGAGGGTTTAAAGCACTAAATGCAAACATCAGATGTGTCCGCTCCAATTATGTGTCACTTCAATTTCGTATCCATCTCACACTAGCTAAGTGTTAATCTTAATGGGCTTCCCATACATTTTATCCCTGAAGTCATGCTTCTGGCATTTCCCCCCTGCCTCCAATATCATTAAACTTGTCACAGTGTGTGGGAAGAAAATGGAGAACCTTGGTGTAGATGAAGCAACAACAGCAGCAGTTTTTAATGTCTGTTAAAGAAAGTAGAAGTGCATGAATGTACAAGTTATCCTTCATGCCTCAGAGTTCCTGATATAGTGTTGCTGTACAGCATTATGGGAAAGACGAAAAAGGAATTAAAAACTGAGCCTGTCATTGGAGGCCTGGGTAGGCATTGGCACTGGTAGGTCTTGACGAACATTTTGTGGCTTCAGAAGCTGTCCAGATGAACTAGATGTTGATGCTTTCTAGTGTACTGAAATATTTTCTTAGTCTTATCAACCTTCTCAAGTGAGCCAGCAGGGACTTTTGGAAGGTTTGCCTGGCATGCATTTTGATATAATTTTGGTGCCAGCTGAATTAATATTTTTCTCCCCCTGCCCTGGTATTTCAATAAGTTTTCTAAACTTGGATTTTGTTTTTCCCTCCTTTTTTCATTCTGTTTAATTAATTTGTTTTGTTATTCCAATTGTTATTATGTTATAAACAACCCTACTGAAAAGACATTGTATAAATGCCTCAAAATGAAATTTAGAAAAAATAGCTCTCAACTGTTGTCCTCACAAAACCTGATACAGTACTTAGTAGCTCACTGCTTTGGAAGCTCAGCCATGGCTAATAGCTATTGATAGACCTATTAACTAAGTGTGCATGTGTGAACATGCAGGCACATTTGCAAAGTTATCTCCTCTCCAACTCTTGCATGCTTGGGAGTGGAGATGAAAGGAAAAGATTATGATTTCGTGAAACACATGGTGCACAGCTTAGGCGGCACACGACGAGGCTTCGTTAATTTCTAAAATTAAGGATTCTGTGGATTCTGATGTGTTTCAGTCTGGAAGAACTGGGCTGGCTACTGATCAACACCCTTGCCTTGAGGACAAAGCAGTTCCTTAGACTTGCAGCAGCTATAGGGGCCTTCGCTAGCATGAAATACTGAGGAGCAGATAATAGTAAGGGAAAAGATGACTTTGTTAGAACCCATTGAGAACATATTCACCTCTTAATATCACTTCTGTGGGCCTGACTATGAATTCAGATTGAGCTGACAGCCCAACCTCACCATTCCACACTTTAGCAATCCATTGGTATCACAAAGAGAAGGAAGACATGAGGGCAGCAGTAAGACTTGAGGAGCCAATTGGTGAAATACTGCAGCCCCTTATCATGGACCAGCGTCCTGAGGTACCAGCAGGACCATGGGGGAGCCCTTCCAGAGAACCAAAGTGAACTTTAAAAAGGAAAAGGAAAACCCTGTGGTGCGTGTGCACAATTCAAAGGCAGGAGTGGATGGGACCTTTATTGGGGTATTAATATTACTGGATGCCTGGCCATGATTTTTGGAGCTTTTATGGGGGCGATGCATCATGTCCAGGTTTTGTTTTAATGCATCCTGTCCAGTCTGATGCCGTCTTCTAGCTGTCGAAAGCTAGCGTCCGTTTGTGATTTTTCTTTTGGTAGCCCTTCAACAAAGATCTCACGGGCCCTTGCCTTTGGAAAGCCAACCCAGGGTTCTGCCACGCTTTATAGCGGTGAAGTGGACAACTTCCTGAGGTCCAGGAAAGCTGACGCCAAATCCAAGGCAAGGAAAGGCGTCGGTGTTTCATGTGTCACGAGACTCTCTGCTCTTTCTTTTTTTAATTGCGCCCCAGAATAATACCCCCGACCGCGACCCACCTCTCGGAGATATTTATAGCCGTTATTACGGCAGGCCTTATACAGTGGCACGCGCTTGGCAGCCCAGTCAGCCGAAAAGAGTTTACGCCATTATAAATAATCGATTAGTCCCGGCCCTTATAAATTCTTCATCGTTCCCTCCCGGGGGCGCGCAGATAGCCTTGGTTCTCCACAGTCGCCTTTCCTAGACCCACCCCAACGGGACTGCTC